AGTGGTGGTTGGCAGGCAGGCAGGCGGGCGGGCACCAAATCCGCACAGTGGGTGTCAATGCGTGACTGCGGGCGGGCGTGGGGTGGAGAGGGCTGAAGGGAGGAACCGATCAGGAACCGTGCGGTGACGAGCTTGCCAAGCATGAAGCATCATGAAGCAAAGCCTGTTGGGCCCTGGCTAGGAGCCTTTACAGGTGCTTTTCCGTGCATGTCAAGGGTCTGACAACACCAACACTGCAAAGCGCCTGGAACGTCACTCATAGCCAGCCTAAATCACTTCGGCTGCCGTGCTCTGGCGCTGCATGCCGGACTGTCACGTTTTAAGTCCATGGCCTCACCGCCCCACGATTGCGCCAACTGGCAGCATGCTTTGGGTCCAGGTGCAAGGCCTTACAGACTCCGCAGATCTCCGCACCATCCAGCACGCCGCACCCAGATCTCCCTCAGCCTTGTCAAGGTCCTCCTTGGCATTCCCATACTCCTGCAAATTCACGTGCAGCTGCGGACCGCGGGCTTCGCGAGAGCCCAGGGTGTTGGGCAACCCGAGGAAGTAAAGTCGGCAGTCGTCGAAACACCAGGGCCAGCGGAGTCAGGAAACGGGGGGCACTGACGCTGATGCTGATGCTGATGGTGATGACGAGGATCATGTGATGATGATGATGATGACGACGATGATGATGACGATGATGATGATGATGATGATCATGAGCATGATGATGGCGATGATGATGGCGATGATGATGATGATCATGATGATGATGATGATGGTGATGATGGTGATGATGGTGATGATGGTGATGATGGTGCTGATGGTGATGGTGGCGACGATAGTGATGATGGTGGCCATGATGATGATGTTGACGCTGCTGATGATGCTGACACTGACGCTGACGCTGCTGATGATAATAATAATAATGATAAACTGATGATAAAAATGATGATGATGATGATGATAAAAATGATGATAAATGATGATAAAATGATGATAAGAATGATGATGATGATGATGATGGTGATGATGATGATGATGATGATGATGATGACGAGGATGAAGATAATGATAAAAATGATGATAAGACTGGTGATGATGATGATGATGGTGATGATGGTGATGGTGATGATTATGATGATGGTGATGTTCATGATGATGATGATGATGATGATGATGATGATGAAGATGGTGATGATGAGGACGAGGATAATGATAAAAATGATGATAAGAATGATGATGATGATGATGGTGATAAAAATGATGATGAATGATGGTAAAATGATGATAAATGATGATAAAAATGATGAAAAAAATGATGATAAGAATGATGATGATGATGATGATGATGGTGATGGTGATGATTATGATGATGGTGATGATCATGATGATGATGATGATGATGATGATGGGCTGACTTCGACAGCGTGCACCGGAGCGGGATGAATCGGTGTCCTGCAGCATCACACTGGCCAAGGCTCGCCTTGAGGGCCGTCGCGATGACTTCGTCTGTAGGCTCCCAGCAGCACTCGGGCGCGGGCCTTCTCCAGAGACTCGGCCGCCAAGCATCAAGCGAAATGGCATGAGCTGCATCCTCAACAGCACCATCATAATCACCGCTTCCTGGCATTGTCGCGAGCAGATCTGTAGAATGTCACGTATTTCCAGCAAATATAAATATGCCGCAGCCACCAAACTTTGCAGCGGTTCGGGTTTCCCAGGAGTGCCTCGGAGGCACATTCAGCGTCATCTCGATCCTGACTCTGACCAGAATTCCGGTGCCTGCCACTGAAAACCGGATCGCCGCGTGTGCAAAAGTTAGACTGGACCGGTTGTGCTGGCATTTAGGTTCTGTTTTCACTAGGGCCTGAGCATTCCAAGGCTGAACTGAGCTCGGAGAAGAGGCTCTCCAAGAGCTGAGGGCGTCACACATTCAGAGGTTCTGCTTGCACCGCCGCTGAGGCGTCCTACGCAGCAAACACTGGCAAGCGGGTGCAAAAGGCTGAACAAGGGGTCTGGAAATGGCGATTGACGCTCCGTTCGTTCTCATGAATGCTGTCTGGCAAATGGACATTTCAACCATGGACTGGATGTAAGGATGTAAGCAGCTGCGATGCCGCGTGCATTGACTGATCCGAATTTCGAGAACAACTGAAGGTCGCCAGGCAGTTGAAGAAACTGGAAAGTTTTGCTGCTACCTTACTGGCCGTGGCTCACGTCTAAAGGCGTCTCTCCGTCTTGCGTTCCGGCATCTGTGAGGTCTTCTTGCGCTGCATCTACTCACGCAATCGTCCTCGACGGCCGCTTCTGCTTGACCCGCTTGCAATCTTGCACAAGCTCGATGTCTCCAAGCAGGACCTGGAGCACATTCACATCCTCGAGTGACAATGGAGCCTGTTGTTCAAAGCCGGGCTGCCACAGTCCGGTCCCAGGGAGACTGCCTGCTGAGGCGTCGGAGCGCGCGGCGGCGCGGCGATCGCGGCGATAAGTTGAAAGAAGGACTGAAGGGGAGTCTCGGCTCTCTCCGGCCTGGTTGCAGCAATGCAGGGCGTGGCCGACATCCTTCCGCTTCAAGCTCAGGTCGGCAGCCTTCGCCTTGGCCAAGTGCGAAGATCAGCGCAGATCATCGAAGACACTCAAGAGATCTCAAGAGCCCGGCCAGGAAGGAAGCTGCATCAGAGAGCGGTGAGAGAAGGACCGACCTGGAGTGCCAGTGACTGCTACTGCAGGACACTGCACGGAAGCCCATCTGAGCCGCTGGCCCAACTCCAGTCGGACTGGGCTGGCCCATGTGCAAGTCTGCGGGGGCCTCAGATACAACCAGATCTCGGATGCTGGCTCACATGCGCAGTGCTCTGTCTCAGGCTCAGGGTCATGCGGAAGCAGTGCGGACCATCGACGGCGAAGGTGGCCACGGTTGCGGGGGGAAGTGTGTGCCCAATGGGCTGGACTCGCCGCTTCGGCGGCGATCGAAGAGCCATTGATAGTACGGCCGTGGATCTACTTTCCGGCCTCCAGGAGAAACGGAGTCCACCCGCCGCCCTGTCGGCGAGACCGGCACCGAGCCCCTCTGCCCGTTCGGCGAGCCCGGCATAAACTCCATCAGCCCATGGAGTCAGGGTGGTGCGAAACGCTACCGCTACCAACAGTGCTTCCTGCTGACTCCTTTCGTGCTCGTAATGATGCTGCGCCTGTGCCGAGATGTTAGCAACGAATGTGAGCTTGTGAATATAAGAAATGTTCTTACTTCTTGCTTTGCAGTGATTTTATTTCCCCAACAGCGTGAGCTGGGGTCTTCAGCCGAAACAAGGGTTGGGGCAGATTGGGGCAAGGCCTGAAACAGGTTCCGGGGCAGGTTCCAGGGCAGGTTGCGGGACTCAAGGCCAGGTTCGGGGCAAGTTCCGGGCAGGTTCCGGGAGGGTTCCGGGAAGGTTCCGGGGCGAGTTGCGAAGCGGGTTTCAAGGTTTTTCTGGGGTGGTTGCTCTGGTCCCACTCCCGAGCTCTAAATCAGCCTTGGAAGCCACCGACCCATTTGGCCTTCGTTTCAACAAATCTGCTCGATGCCGTCACTAAACCCGAAAATCGTGCTGCAAATGCTTTAGTTTGGTTTCCGGGTACCCAAACTTCATTTTTCAAGGCTTGGACAACATACATGCTCTTCCCACACCCGAAAATGCAGCCACCCATAAACTGTTCGAATCAGAATCTTTTGTGTTCAATGGCCGGCCCGACATGGACAACCCATCTACAGCTCTGTCAGCATTTTCTGGTGCCCTATGATGTGAGCCCAGCGACAGCCATTCCGCGCTGGGGATGCTCCATGGGATTGTTTATATACCTTGGCAGGCTGATTGATAGCTAGCTAGCTCGATGCATGGATGCATGGATGGATGGA